AGCAATATTAATATGTTTAGAATAGGATACGGAACCAAATGAATTATTTATTCGATATTCATAAAGACCTGTATCAGTTAGATTGTTTAAATAAATTCGATAATGTGTAAATATATCTCCTGATGGTAGAGAATTGATTTGATTATGTAAAATTAATTGTTGACCATCTTTATAAATATCTATAGTTGGTAATGGATCAGCATAAATAGTTAAATTAAGATCAATTGGAACATGTGTGATATTATTTGATGGAATTATAATAATATTTGAATGTGTCTGTTCCGCGGAAAGGATAAAAGGCGGTGAATCTAAATATTATAGACAAAAGTTTGTTTAGAAAAGCAAATCTCCCAGATGAACATGTGTTGAAAGGATACTACTTCCGGTAATAGTCTAGAAGAATGTATACGTGCTAATGAACATTTTTTGTTTATCTTAACTGTCGTTAAGAAGAAAAGCAAGACTTACTGATGACATCAACTTGAGTTTGTGCACAACAAGCATTTGAATCCAATAAACTATTTGTAATATAACAACATTGATACATTCCCATATGTTCTCGTGTTAAATTAGAGATTAAATATTGATTATTATTGATAGATAATTTTTTCGAATTATGATACCATTGCCATTGTGTCGGTATCGATTTTATTGAATTACTTGTACAAATAAATTCAGCATTTGATCCAGCATTAAAATTTGTTTGTTGAATAGACATTTTACATTGAATTGGAACTAACAAAAATATGAATTTATTTATGCCAAAAAAAAAAAGATTTAACTTACGATCAACTTTTAATGACATTAAGGATACTATACGTCCACTTGATTCATCATCAATTCGACATGCATAATTGCCTGAATCGTCTGAAGATAAATTTGACAGTTGAAGAATTAATGAATTATTATAAATTTGTTCTGAAATATTAGCTATTTCAATTCCATTTTTCCACCAAGATATGCGAGCATATGTTGGGACAGATGCTATACCACAAGGTAATTCAATAAGATCACCAGCATTAGCACGATATTCTGTATTATTTGGTATGGATAATTCCGGACCAAATGGTGAACGATCTATATTATTCAATTTCATGTATACAAAAGGAAGAAAGACATTCATTTTTTACCTCGAACTCGTAATGATTTAAATCGACTTTGACGTTTATCATTATCGATTTGATTTTGAACAATACAGGCATATGTTCGATTATCATCTGATTTTGTTATATTATGTATAATTAAATTTTTATTTGACAAGAAATTATATTTTGTTCTTGAACCTAAAGAAATTCATATATTACGATTTTCTTTCTTCCGTTCGTTCTATTTGAATAAGCACTTACGTAAATCTAATTGAATGATTTGATTATTTACATTCTCTAACCAACCTATAACGTGTACATAAGAACTAGCGGATGGTGGTGAAATTTCACATGATAAAATAACAGATGATTGTTCAAATCCAAATGTATTTTTTACTTCAATTTCATATGTATCATAGATTTCTAAAGATGAAAAAGAAATAGGATGTATTTTATTTCATTGATTCATTATTCATCCTAACACTTTCATTGTCCGCGACAGGTCAATTCTGACATAATTATATTAAATTAATGCATCAAGATAGAATTAAATTAGAAAAGTTTGCGTGCTATCACAGGAAAACGATTAGTAGACGCTCGAATGAATTATTCTGACATGTAGATAGAGAAACGCGCACAGATTGAATCATCTGCGTCCACACTCATTTACCAATTTTTAATTAATATATATATATTTCACCATCTATGAATATTGAAGATTATTCTTAATAGAAATAACAATTGAATCTCAATTTCATTCTTTTTATTTACTTATAGAATCTGTTATTCGACTTCAATATACTTTCTTCATTCAGCCACTCGAATTCAATAATTGTATGTTGATTTAAGATTTTTATTTTCTTGAGAGTGTGTGTGTGTGTGTGTGTGTGTGATTGATAACACCAGCAGTGCACACAATTACTTTAAAACTAATTCTATTCTACATAACCTATCATCATCATTCATCAGACAAGAGGAGAAAAAAAAGAAATAGAAAATGACCGTTCGTATGTCTTACGTGAACTATGATTACAGACATACATGTATACAAGTCGAGTCATCTGGTTTTCAGCCGGACATTGCCAATAAATATTTGGACACGACGTGCATGCATGCTACATCACGTCGGACAGTCACACAATGATGTTACTATTAGTTTGAGCTGATTAGTGAAAATCATCTATTTGCTTGAAACATTTGTATGTCTCAAACAATTTACTAATTTATACAACACGCACATTCTAATATAAATATTGAATTCATAAAAAAAAGTTATTTATATAGGTCTCTTTTCCTTCTTCTTCTTCTTTTATTCCTAGTTCAATTAAATATATATAGAATTTATTCGATATTGTACAAGATATATTTATTGAACACAGTTGGAATTCTGATATTAAACTATGTTCTCACTACTAATGCATAAGCACGCCTGTGTCTATATGTATTGTTCATTTAATTGACCACACAGGGGAAAGAGAGCGAGAGAGAGAAAGAAAATTTGCCCAAGTGATAATCACCATATATACATATACACATATGTTCATTCGTTAGCACTTGTCAAGAAGTCACTCTGCACACATACTTGTGTTCATCTTGATTTCCGCCTGGTGATGAAGAAAAGATAATCTACTGTGGAGCGATTTATTAGCAGAATGTGTCAGTCTAATCTTACTGTCTCTCTCTCTCTCTGTCTCTGTATACTCAATGAATGCTAAAGTGGCTATGTTCAGGATCAGCCATATGGTTGTCTCGTGTATACGACGAAACAAATAATAATGATATTGACATTTCCTATCAAATAGGCGAGTATACATGAACTAGACTTGATCAAATTACAATAGGGCGGGAGGTGAAATTTCAAGAATGTGTGTGTGTGGTGTGTACATCGTTTACTTATTTTCTTTTGTTTTTCTAAGAACATACCTTTATAGGTTAATAGTACAAATATAATTTCATTAATGCAGAAAATTCGATTAAACTTTTCCTCTTTTTCTCATCATTATACTCACGTGGTTTAAGTTGAATCGATGTTGTTTGTATACTACCAGCTGCATTTTCTGCTCGACATACAAAAGTACCAGCATGTATTAATTTGGAATAATCTCGAAATGGTCGAATAAATAAACTTCCATTTTTATATACATCACTAAAAAGTCAAAAATAAATAAGATACATAAATATTAAAATTTAAGATAATAATCATGTTTTATTTTCTGTTGTTAAATGCTCATCAATGTTGATTAGCCTATTTGACAGGTGTCGAATAATGATTAAAAACGAATTTCCGTTGCGGTCTATCACAAATATATATAAATATCTCTTTGAGTTTACCGCCTAACAATCCACAGCTGATGCCCGTAGAATGATCAATGGTTAACAACTGAGAACAAGGAGAAGGCAAAAAAAAAAGAATATGATAAGATGTCTCACATAAGTTCAGAAGATTCAACAAATGTTGACGGTCGATCATCGCTACCATTTGTCCGGAACCAAGTTAACTCTGGTGATGGAATACCAATCGCTGAACAATCAAGTCTTGTACCTAAATTATTGTAATAAAGTCTTTGTTTAATTGATATTGTTGACATAAAACTTGGTCCAATAGGACGATCAATTGTCACAACATCTAAACGAATAAAAACAAATAAATAAACAAATAAAGAAAGAATTGTCTTTTTTTTGTTTTTTTTTATGTAACCATATTTAATCAGAGCTCACACTTGAATAATTATGTTCTTCTTTTCTCTTTATCTGCCAGCTGCTCCCTACTCACAGTTAGTCTATAGGGATTTTTGAGTTTTTTAACATATATACACATATGTATGCAGATGAAAGAAGTTAGATAATAGAGTAACGTTAAAGAAAGAAAAAGTTTCATACACATGTTAGATGGAAAAAGAAAATGATGCATCCAGGCATGTCATAAAATTTCATGAACAGAGCATTTCTAGTAATGATGGCCTTGTCATCTTTTCCATCATTTAAATATGCATTCAACATATTGTTAGACTTATTCTGCTATTTCAGCTGGTAACATTCACTAGATAACAATGTATGTACACGTTAATGATGCAATCTGGAGAATACATACACATTCTCATCAGTACAATATGCCTTGTTCTCTCACCGAATAAATATGACAAATTATTCTATCAAATAAGACACAATGAAAAAAATAGAAGATCTTACCTTGCAGATAAAGGACAAGGCAAAGTAGAATACCAATGATTATCTTCATTTTCATCTTGAATCATGAAAAATTATCATCATCGTACGGACGGATAACATCATATAAATTGACATACAAGACACTTGTCGATACTGGATCACTATCTATATCAATTGTACACAATGTGTATCAAATCTATAAAAAAGAAGAGAATGAGGTGAGAATGAATGAACTGAAAAGAAGAGAAGAAAAAAAAGAAGAAAAGAAATAAATATGAACACCGGTTGTGCTGTTAAAATAACAAATATATGGCTACCCAGAAGAGAGTATGATGGTAGTAGTAGTAGTGGTCGTCTTACTAATACAATACATTGATTGTCCCTCTTGCGTGCGTTCTCTCTCTCCCTCTCCCTTCCTCTCTCTCTCTCTCTCTCGCTTATTCTCTATGGGTCTACACAAGACAAATAAACTTTATAGTATAAGAAAGAAATAAAAGAAGGAGGGAAGAAGGAAAGTTGTGGCTGCTGCAATGCAGACCGAAAGTCAAAATCATCTCTTCGTCCCTAATTAGAGACGATCGAGAAACGAGAAAGACAAAGAGAAGAAGAGAGAGAAGAGAAAAACTTATGAGAACAAGAACGACAAGAAAAAGGAGAAGAAGAAAAAAAAGAAAGAAAAGAAAAAAGAATAATCCATCTTTTCATACTTGTCCTAGTGAATACGAGACAGCGAAAGCTAACGCAGTTCAGGGCCATCATACGTTGTGTGACATCCCATTAATTCAACGTTTGCCTGTCGTTATCTATCGGATTTCTTCTAAATATATAAATATATCAAGATCTATATATGTATATATGTTTTCATGAATGACAACTTGTTCACAGCGTAACGAGCTCCATTAACTATTGTATTAAAGACTGACAAGCGACTGTTGCTTTACTAATGAGATTGCATAAAATATGAAATGAGAAAATGATAACCATTCGCTTGTGTCTTCATCATTCTTATTGAGACAGACCTATCGTTTACTCTTTTATATCTATATGTTTCAAATTTCAAACATGTTGATGACATTTCAATGATAATCGATGAGATGAAATTGATCAAATGAAATAAATTTTTCTTCATCTTCTTCTTTTACTTGTATATGATATGAATATTTTACTAGTTTTCTTTTTTCTTTTTCTCTTTCTCCTTGTGGCAACTGACCATCGTGTATATACATATATATATATATGTATGTATACAAAAGCAAGAATGCCTAATTGGAGTCATTAGAGTGCTCTTTCTCGTTTGCTTTCGTCGTTCCAAATGGTGCCATACACTCACACATATATACTATAGTAAAGATAATACCGAGAAGAGTATTGTGTGTGTGTATATGTGTGTCGCGTTCTTGAGATTGTGAAGATATGATGAGTACGTTTAGTGGCATAGTATTGTCGTTGACACTAAGCATTTTATTTGCAATAAGGTTTCTTTTTTCTATTGCATGTTGATGATGTTGTTTAACTGAATGATTGTTTCCGGCTTCACTTCTCAATCGATGGACTTTTTCTTTATGGATGTATATAATATAAATAGTAGGAACAAGGTCATATCTTTACTAAGAGTCTTTTTTTATATTATGAATAAAAAAAACTTAAAAACGATTCACTATAGAAAATGACAGACGTCTCCAGCTTTAAGTTGATAGCTCGATGACATTAAGAGAGAAAAGAAGGAGACAATGAATAAGGAGGGCGGGGTACAATGAATTTTGATTTTATCGAGTATAACAACGATTATTGAAATTGTGCACACATATTGTATGCAACACCTTCTGTCACTGTAAGTGCTTCTAATAAAAAAAGACAGCCAACACACTTAGGTGTCAATGGTTCACACAATTGTAATGGGTCAATGATCAGTGTCTAGTGAAGGTTAAAAAATATGAGACAAAAATCACGTATAGATGTGAGCAAATTAGGTTATCTAGTAATGTAAATACACAAAGAACGGATGTGGATTTGCATCAAAGAATACAAGAGGAACAACTCTTGACATTATTCTGCCCGTAAAGGAAATCGATTAGGCATAGTCATGTTAAGCACCTCCATATTAAGAATAGACTAAGAACTAGTGTGCTGATTAAAAATTAGATGCAAGTACTTATTGTATTCTATAGTCAATGTATGAACAGCACGTTCCACTCATCATCGAACTAGCTTACTGACCTTGTGTCTGCTCCTCAGGGAGATAGATCAGCTATATTAACGAACGTGCTAGTGCTTTTATACATACTGACAAGATTATGTCGTTGAACGATGTCTTATTCTGCTCTTGTAGTTATTGTCATTTGTGTCATTTACTTCAAACGAACATGAGATATTTTGACAAGGCAACGTGTGTGCATGCGTCTGTTTTCGATGATAAATGTCTCATGAAAGTAAATCGAGAGCTTTCCGATAAAACTACAAGGCTACTATTTATACTCATTTATTATATATTATGCGTTTATCACGATTATTCGAGGTCTGACTAAACATTTATTTCCCAAAGCTTCCTATTACAGTATTTAATAAGTTTTTCATAGAACACTATCTAAATATATTTTTCAATGAAATATTATTAATATGAAAATCGAGATTATTCATAACCGTACTCTTATTTCATCTTTTAATAAATATCTATTGCTTGAAATATTCCGAATTTGATGATCAAATAATTATCATCTTTTTTTATATATATAGATGAGAATTTTGATTAATAATAAATGAACCAACTAAATCAAATAAATATATAAAAAAAGAATTTATATCAAAATAGAAATGAATCTATTTATAATGAAGCATAAAAAACAAAAGCTCTTTTTTTCTCTCTCTCAATGTAATCACTCTAAATAGTATGAATTATAAATTCTAATCTATTGAATGAGACATTTAATTTATTTTCATGTACATAATAATCATTCGTTTATACATATGTTCATGTATTTATATAGCTATTAATTGAAGAAAATGATCGGAGATTTTATTTCTTTTCTGTTATCGATCAAAATCAATAATATAATAGAACGATTGAAATATTTATTCAATAAACTATTGAATATAATTGTATGATAAAATATATAGTTGAGATTATAATACTGATAGTGTCTTTAATAACATTTATCTTGATTCACAACTCTTCAATTAAATAAAATAGAAAGAAAACAATTGAAAGACATCATTATGTTTTCTTTAACATTTTTAAAGTTTCATAGTCACCAATCGCTTAATTGAAAATATAACTAAGAAGATGAACATGTCATCCTATTCCTAATTAGATTTTATCTTCTTATATTTGATGTGGTCAGTTAAGAAGGATAAGACTGAAGTCAAGGTCAATATCTATGACATGAACACTAAAGAAATTCATCTTATACATTCTATTCTCTGTCTAGATTAAACTCAAATTGAAAAGAAAAAGAATATTATACAACAAAGTTCTTTACAATGGTACAAGTGTTTGAATAACTGATGCTCTTTCTTCACCATTATCATCAATTAGATATGTGATTACATGTGTACCAATATCCCAAGGTTTTGATATCTCAACAGTTATTATTTCCTTATGTTTTTCTTCTGTATTACATTTTTTCCCACATAGAATACGAACATTTGATTGACATTTAAGTATAAAATTCTCGGGAAATTTATAAATTATTCTGGATTTTCTATCTGCATCACGGCGTAATGTCCATCCTGCCATATTCTGATCTTTATTTGTCCAACCATCATTTTCAACATCAATATAATGATCCATATTATTTACTTTAATAATTCCAATTGAACCTAAGAAGAGAAAATTAAAACTCGATAAATATACAAGTAACGCTCGTTAGAAATGCATCCTTTTCACATTTACTGAAAAAACAATTGAAAACCGTGGAAAATAAGTTTTCGATGTTTTTTTGACCCTGCGGACTCAATCAAGCAAGCAAACAATTTATGTTTACTAGACTCTTCTCTACGAGAAAGAGAAAAAACAAAATAACCTTTTGTACAAATTTGTGTAGAATATTTTTTTGTTTCATTATTTTCTGATGATGCAGTTTTTTCAGGTTGATCATAAAATAAAGCTTTCATATCGGAAAGCCATGAAAAATTACCAGGCGAATTTTTATCCTAAATGAAATTGAACAAAAAATAACGCAGATCTATATTATATTAAGTTTTACTGAATTATCGATTGTTTGATTATGTGTAATTTTAATAAGTTTAATAACTGAAGATGAATTATCATTGATAATATGGATACTATTCATCATACATTCATTTTCTGAACGAAGTTGATTTAATTGTTGTGTCCATCGAGTAAGATCATTTTCAAAGAAATCATCTAATTCTCGAGCTTGACGTAATTTTATAGAAATTTTATTTAATGATTTTTTTCCATGATCAATAATATTATCCAGAATTTCATGTAATGTTATTCTTGATGTTTTTGCTATTTGTTCAATTTTATCAATTGATTCTGTTTCCCATTGATTTATTTGTTCGAAAAGTATATGTTCATTTTGCTTTTGTACTTGTTTAACTAAATCTTCATTGATAATATCATGTTGAAATTCAATATTATCCATTTCAGAAATTAATTCTTGACGATGTTCTGCTACATGTTTTAAGCAGAATGATTGTTGACAACCATCACATGAAAAAGCTCCTGTACCTTTATCACATTTTGAACAACTTTTTCTCGATGTGGGCGTAGCCATAATATTACTTGATTTATTTACACTTGTCAAGTTTATAAAAGAATAAACATCACTATTTTCTTTTTATTTAATACGCTTCAATAGTCTCTCACATGACAGTAAATATCGCGTTATATTTATTGCATGAATATGATAGGCATATACATGTTTATCATATGAGAGGTATTCTCCAGGTTAATTGCCTCTCATGCATATTATACTAATTATTAATATATTTTATGCAAGAATAATTTTAGTTAAAATTCCATGAAATAATTATTTATAATCTATATAAACAAATGATTGTTCAATAATAATCTATTTGGCAAGCAATACTAATAAGTAAACATAAGTAATTAGATTTGATTGAATTCTTTTAGTAGCGGAAACCTTAATTTTAAAACTAGGAAGATAACTGATGCTTCAGTAGATGATCTTATTAATTTTCTCGTCGAATATTTTCAATTGTTTACTATCACGGTAAGTATCATATATTAATTGCAAATATTTAATTGTTTCTTCTGAATAGTTCTCTCATCTTACTATCATTTCAAAGAAGTAGACTTGTAGTCTTTACTGATTAAATTATATCTGTCAAATTTTTTTGAAAGATAAACTATATTATCTTCTTTTACTATCATTATATATTCAATCTAATATACTTCAATGTAAAATATATATGAGATAGTAGATTTAGTATGATGTAATTAAGACATCTATACTACAAATATGTATATCATTATAGAATTTGACTTATTTTCCCATGATAATTGCACATCGTGTACATCATACTATTTATTGATGTTATGCAAGAATAACTAAAGATAAGATTGAATGATAATGATCTTTTGTGTATAATTACTAATTAATATGAACAAATCGTTGTTTGATAATACTTTTGCAATGCAATTAGCAAAAGAATAATGAATTATTATCATTTTTATTTTTTGACATTTCTCAAACAACTGTATTTAGTGAATGGACTTTTTTTCTTGAAATTCAGCGAATATATTATTTTATATGAATTGATATTTAGTCAGCAATAACATTTAATAAAAAAATATTCTTCGATCGATTATATAATCCTTATTTAAATAGTTCATTAGTTTTCAATCGATGACATATATAGAAAAAAAAGAAAGAAGTAATGTTAAAGTTTGTCTAGTACATTTTAAACTTTAGCGTTATGTCATGATCAGTATTTTTTCTCGTTAAATTCCTTACAACTGAGTTCAATGCTATGAGACTGAAAAATGTTATCTTTTGTTAAGAAAAAATATTTACGCTGAAGTCTAATCTTGTCAGGATATGTAACACTAAGTTGTATCTATAATTAATCCGAAAGCTTAAGATTAGCTTGTTCGAACATGAGACTTATTCATGATACTCTTTAGTTTTCATAAATAATGAATCCATAGCTAATGTGTAAATATTTTCTTTGAACATTTTAAATTATTAAAGATTTATATATTGAAAAATTTTAAAGAGAAGTTTTGTAAAAGAATGTATGCATCTGGTATTCATATATAGGATGATATTTAAATTTGTGCATAAATCAATCAATAAGACATTCATTATTATTTTTAATTCTCTTAAAAATATACAAGATATTTCATGGACAATTCAATAAATATGCATAGAGATGTAGTCGTTGTTGTCAAAAAATCAAGTACATTTATATTGACACTTCTTTGAAAGAAAAAACAAACCACTCAATAATCATCATACTCTTCAACAGACAGAATGACTAGAAGAGATGATTATCGCCTGCCTAGATTTACATTACTGACATGACAACCATTGAAAATCATCTGATAGATACATACCATATGTGTTCGTATGTAAATCTAGATACTAATAATAGCAGCAGCGATACTTATATGATATATAGAACACTAACTGTTTTTCTTAGTGTCGACATACACAACAGAATATATATGGAGCTGAAAAATCTATACCATCGTTAACATGTATGTTTTTGGCAATAACAAACATTTCTTTTCCCCTCTTAGATCTCTTGTAATACGATAATTTTCTTGAATTTATATAAAAAGACTCATAACAGATATGATCATGATTCGGTTCGATGAAAATGAAAACCGATTGCATCTAAACCTGACTTTTTTCATGCAATTTTTAGTGTTTTTATAAGTTTTTGATACGATTCGATTTCATAACAACTTGAGCTATGTCCATCTCTGATTCATATAAATCTTACATTGATCGTTTATTTATAACTACTAATTTTCCCTTCAGGACATTTACATGTGGATGAATGAACAATTATTAGCCTGCTTTGTTATTATTAACACATAGTCGGTATAAATGTATATAGATCAACAAAAGAATCGAGTTTATGAACATGAGAATCAGGATATGATAAATATCAATAGAAATAAGAATAGAAAGGAAAAACAACGTCAACTATTATTCTATAAAATAAAGACACCTTCCTTAGATAAGTACGCCTTTCTCTTGTGTGCCTGCCTTCTGCTTCGTCTTCTTTTTCTTTTCAGAAATTCTGTCTGGTCCCAGTTGCTCCCTTTTCTCATAAATATTGCTCGAAGGTTGCTTTTATATACCCCACAAACATCATCGAACGTCTTCTTTTTTCTATCGGAAGAGAAGAAAAAAAAGCATGTTTCCTTCGCTTTTTTTTCTTTGCTGTCGATATACAACGTCATAGACAGAACGAATACAATCCTCGCATAACATCCTGCACTACCGTTGAGATTGACATCGTCGTCATTGAGAGAAAAAAAAAAAGAAGAGAAACAGAGAGAAAAAGGTTTTACTAACTACACGCGGAATAACCCAAGCTTTTTTTTTGTAGTACTAAACAAGACAATACTCGAGTAACAACATCGGCAAGGAAGAGAAGACATCTAAATCATATGGTGCACATTAGAATGTAACACCTTTTAAATATTCTCTTCTTATTGTTCATATTATTTTTATAATGTTTACAATTATACCATCACTTTATCTTGTTGCTGTCCATTATTTTCGACAATGGAATGCACCTTATTATTATGAAGAAAATAATGAAGAAGAAAAGAAGACATTTGATAATGATACTATTAATGAAAATAATTTAATGAAAACATCAAACAACATACAATCAATAGAATCGATACCCATATGTGATAATAATCTTCTTCTTCAACATGATAAGGAATTATTGATAACTAAGAAACGATCTTCTCGTTCAAGCATTGGTGAAATAAATGGATACATACCAAAAGTCAATAATGACGAGGATAATCAACTACACAAAGTCAAATTACGTATAAAAAAACCTATTCGATCCTCGTCATTGTTAAATGCCGAACGGCAAAAGACCTATACAAATGCCCTTAGTGAAGATGATATTATGCATTTAGTGAACGAGACAGGATTTACTCGAGAACAAATATTATTATGGCATAGCGATTTTCTTGTATGTATGCAAGCTATATATATTACATAAATAACAGAATATATATATATATATATATTTATGTTTGTTTTTTTTTGATATTCTTGCAGCGTGATTGTCCAGATGGAAGACTTTCTAAATTGAAATTTATTGATATTTATAAACAATTTTATAAGAAAGGTCAAGTGGCAAAATTTTGCGAACATGCCTTTCGTGTATTTGATAAAGATGGTTCTGGTTATATTGGTATGTAAATGAGATTTCTTTTTTTTCTTCAATGATAATAAAAACAAAACTTTTTTTTGATTAGATTTTGTTGAATTTCTTATTGCTGTTAGTATGACATCAACGAAAGATCCTGTACGAAAAACTGAATTATTCTTTTCTATGTATGATATTGATCAGAATGGTCTCATTGATGAAAATGAAATGCGATGCGTCGTTGAGGTGAGTTATAGGACATTTATCATTGCTTTAAATCTCGATGTAATGTAAACGTGTCAATGAATACAGGTTGAGTATGTGAATAATCGTTATTCTTTATTTTTATTTTTTCCCTTTTCATACAATAAAAAAGCAAATCAGTTTCTTTTTTCCACACATAATTGCTTTGACATTTTAATACACGTATTGACGTGTTATTCTCACATGAATAGATATTTATTGGGCCTTTTTTTTTCTTTTCTCTTTTCTAGTCAATCTATGAATTAATGGGTCTCGATGTAACGGATTCGACAAGAATTGATATGAAAGTTCAAGAAATATTTGCTAAAGCTGAATGTGATCAATCGGGATACTTAACAAAAGATCAATTTGCATTGGCTTGTAAAAACGACCGACACATTCGTAAACTTTTAGTACCGAATACTAAAGCACCAAATAATCGGTGAAAAAAAAAAGTTTTTTTTCTCGGTTTTTTTGTATAAGAATGATTGTATATACGAGATCTTGTTTCATTGGTTTTTAGCATCTACCTTATATATATATATATATAGAAACGTGTACTTTTTAAGTACATCAATAACTAGTCATGAAACAACAACAATTTTTTTTGTTCCTATTCTCACAAATAACATTTTATTGTTACCTATGTATAGATAATTATCATTGGAAATAAAAGATAAATTTTGTATTCAATAAATGCATATATTTGTCATGTTAATTTATTTCTAGTTGATTTTATGCTGAGTGAGGTTTGATCAGTGTGACATTTTCTTCTTAAATGCAATGTTTATTATATATATGTCTCTATTTCGTTTGTTTTTCTGTTAAAAGTGAATATCACATGTTAGATTGCGAAGCGACATATTATGAATAATGTTTTTGTTTTTGTCATGAAATTAATTGGACTTATCGGATTGGAAATAAAAATATTCTGATAAAATTTAATTCTTGTAAAATATTTCTAATGTTAATCGAAATATAAATCATAATAAAACTATATGAATAATTGAACTCAATGTATATATATATTCTAGTCAGTTATTAAAGAAAAACTTCGAAATAGAATAAATTATGTAGATTTTATTTGGATTTTTCCCAAAAGATTTCGATAGTGTGTTTCAGTAAACAATCATTAATTGAACAAGATGTTCGAGAGAATTTGGATTTTATAAAAATACAAGAGTGTTTACCAGTTTTGCCTATTAATCTAATTATATATGAAAATTCAATTTAGATCAAATGATAATTTCCAGTTTCGAGAATAAATTATTTTGAACGAATTAGTCGTCTTTTATAATATCAATTATTAATCATATTGAAAACGACAAAATAAATATCTTAAATAGAGAAATATTGATATTATTCTTTAGTATAAATTTGCATTGAGAAAAGAAATAACACGAAAATCACTAGAGAAATATTGTCATACATGTAATATCTTCACATATTACAAAAAAGAAATGCTTTTAATCCTTTCAGGACCGACTTAGTGTTGAAAAAAATAAGTGTTCACTTTATATAGGTAGACGTGCCACAAAATTCTACAGGGATTTAGAAATAAACAGGAACCTGGGGGATAACTTTGAAAATGACTGGAAAATACCAAAAGTGTAAGAAAATACATGGTTGTATGTCATTTACGATATCTGTATCATAATCATCGAGTGCAGAATGTATCAAACGATAACAAAATCAACATTCTGATATATGATTCTCTTTTCAAATTGAAATAAAACACAAAACTAGGACAACTTCAGAAAAAAAGACGTCAGAACTCACATATGTACGTCATAGGTTTTGCAAAGGTTAAGTATGAATAAATATCAACATTTTTATTAAATTTATGTACATTTTTGTTCTAGTTAATAACGTATGTATAATAATTCTTATAACATAATATTCCACATGTCAAATATTTTTTTTTCTTTTGTCTATATTGACCTATCTCGAGTCAATACATCATGTTAAATTCACTTGAATATAGTTAGAAATTAATAGAGAACATCACATAAATGGAAAAAAAATGTTTTTAACATGATTCCTAAAAAAAGAATATTCTATTTGCTATAATAATGTTTTTCCTTTTACATAAATCATGATTAATAAACAAAATAAGTATTTCATAAATGTAAATTTACTTTATTTAGATGGTACATATGTATCTCGTCTATAATTATTTTTCTTGTCAAAATTATCTGATAAAATTTTCATATGTAAATATATTTAACTTTGTTTTTCATCTTACAAAGACAGAATCTAATGAATAAAGAATTGATTAGCGTATGAATTAAATTATTTGTTTTGTATATTCTCATATTATCGAACAATTGATTGAGATTTGTTTTTCATGGCTGATTACTCAATCGAAGAAGGAAAAACAAAAGAATTTCAAATATATATATATCGTATGTCACTTATGTTCATCAAAACAAGGAAAAAAACACAAAGAATTCTTATCAGATAAAATACGTATCATTTTCCTGTTTATGTTGATACGTTCATATGAACAGAAAAAAAAAGACACAATGAAAAAGAATCCTTGAATATTGCTTATGTATGGAGTAATAAGTAATACACTGATTATATATATGTATATAAATATTGTTAATTAAGAGGCTGATGGTGCAAGTAATTTACGTAAATAATCATCTTGTAAACAGCCTGTAACGAATTCATCTTTAGATAATTTTTGATCACTATTGACGTCCATTTTTGAAAATATTTGATCAACCTTTATGTCTGGTGAATTTGAACCTTTCTTTTCTTCACCAAGAAGATCGTAAATAGCCTATTTTAAATAACAAAAAGTAATAATTAATGAGAAGAAAATGAAATTTATTCTCACATCCATAATTTTTTTCATTTCCTTTTTTTCAATATATCCATTACGATCAATATCTATTAATAGGAAATATTCATTAATAAATAATTAAAACTAAATAGAAAAAGAACAATAGGTGGTAATACATACCATACATTGAAAATGCCCATTCTAATTTTTTTTTCGGATCTTGTTGAGCCGTTATTGATATAGCAATTAGAAATTCACCAAAATCTAAAAAAAGAATAATATTATTCATCGTTTTCAATAATCGACAATGAATAATTAATGCATAGATTACTACTCTATTTACTCATTCATTTTTCGACGACGCACACACACAGAAAGTATCATCGTTAATACTTTAGCCCCTAGAGTCTCCGATTGTCTATGCTAAATATATTTCGTCAATGTAAAGTTATCTCGATTCTTTTTTATGGTTGTAATTATTCTTAAAATTCTTTTTCTAGTTATTTATTACATACCTATATTGCCTGAACCATCTGTATCGAATGTACGAAAAACATATTCACAAAATTTTTCGGCTTTACCAGTTGGATAAAATTGCTTATAAACTTCAATAAATTTTTTTTTATTTAGTCTTCCGCTTGGACAATCTTTCTAGAAATCGAAAAAAGACAAAATAAAATAGATATTAGGTATAATACTAAATATGTTGTTCGACATGCCCTAAAGATATGGCATATAAATCGATTTTTATTACGTACATGTCATAACAATTTTGTTTTTTTCCTCAATGAAATGCTATTCACTGTCAAGAATTACATCCAGATAAGATGGAAAATAAAAGATGTCAATCGACTGATTTATTTTGAAATCGAAAAGAATGCTTCGGAAATAGCAATCATTCTATTAAATAGGAGATGAAAGCCTAATGCGTTTTATTACTCTATTGAGTTTTCTCATTTATCTTTGATTTTTTCAACAAATATTGAAGAGCAATCCATGCATGTTAGTCAAGATGAAACGCTTGTGATCGAGTGGATTGTCACAGCACCCATTCGATTCATTCTCTTTTTCTTTTATATATATATATATATATATATTCTCATCTAATGAATATAGAACATTGTAACGTAATGATGACGATGATGACAAAACTCAAACTCGCGCCTGAAGTAATATGATCAGATATATAGACATAGCTGATACAATTAGACACAAAGCGCGATTTTCCTACTGTCATTTGGCTTTTTAACAGCGATGACTAAGTTTGAATGAGACAAATAAAAAATGTCTATGTCTATGAAAGAGACCGAGAGAGAGAGAGAGTGTGTGGGGAGACAGTGAGAAAAAAAACTAGGAAGAAACTCTAGCTAAAAAGAATGTAAAAAAAAATGATAAAGTTCCATGTGGTTATAAGCACACCTACAAAGATAATGAATATGAAGTATGCAAGCTCGTGCTTTTACTAATATAATACTATTTGTCAATATAACACATACCACTCAAGTGTTCATTTTATATTTATATATCTGATCAGGTAGATGAGAAATGTATATAGCACGATGGTTATAACACAGAAAGCATGCTTAACATCTGGCAAAACAAAAAAAAATTTACTTACCAAAAAGCCTGAATGCCATTCTCGTACTTGTTGTGGAGTAAAACCAGATAAATTGGATAATTCACTGACATCACTATCAGAAAGTGTTTTGCCTCGTTTGACACGTGCTTCGCTATTACCCATGGCCTTTTTTTTTTAAAAGTTTATTAACAAAATTTATATGTGACACTTGAAATTCCGAATAAAATCTACAAAGATACAAGAAAAAGATTAAATATAAAGAATTACGTGGAGAAAACGAAATAGATGTAGTGATAGCAGGTGACAGGTTGCTCGCGGAATAAGTGACTGTCTATGTTTTCTTTTGCATTTTCACGTTTCAAATAGAAGAAGATGAAGATGAAGAAAAAGAAGAGAAGGAGGAGAAGAGGCAAGACATGAAGACATTAAGAGAAGAAGAAGAAGAAGAAGAAGACGAAGAAGAAGAAAAATAGAGAAAGAGAAGAAAATGAGAGTGACAAAAAGAGAAGAATACAGGAAGAAAAAGAAAATAGAGAAGAAAAGAGAATAACTGTAGGTCTCTTGTCATGCATTGTTTTCGCTCATTTACTAACAATACTACTAATCGCACTATTTATGGTCCTATAATATCATTTCACTCACAACACCATTAGTCAGTTTGTTCAATAATATTAAAGATTAAATCATATAATAGCGAGCAAGAAATTTTCTTTCTTGTATATTTGATTAATAAGACTAACTAAAAAAAGAATCAAGTGCATATATATATATATATTGAAATAAGATCAACATAATGATAAAGATAACACAAAAAAAGAATTAACAAAAAGAATATTATATGCGAGATAATGCAAAAGACTTCATGTATACAAATATATTACATGCGACAGTTCTTTGGTTTTTTTAATTTTAGAAAAGGGTATGTTAAGATAATAAACGTTATTCAGTCATACGCATTGGCAACAAACTATAGGCACACCTACGCGAACGCATATTTCTCTTCTTCAAAAAACGCAGCGTCGGATACATCCACCTGTATCGCTATTCTCACTTAAGAATATAATAAATGAAAAAAAACACTCAAACACAAATGAAATAGAAAAGAGAGAAAGAACAGAACAACAGCTTTACATCGAGACTCTCTTTCTCTCTATGAAGTTTCGCTTGGTTGGCTCTCATCCATCTCATTTTTTCTTATTGTACTCATAAACCATATATCTTATTTTTAAAACGATTGTTGTCAAAAGAAAATTTAACAATAATCTTATTTATTATTTTTTGTTATTCTAACAAAAGAAAAAAGATTCTTTGTTGATAAATATACTCTAAACCTGTGAATCATTTGCCATAGACGACTCTGTATTACCCTTGACAAATATGTTTCTTTTTTTTTCTTTCAATTTCTTATCTGACAGTATAATTGTATATACATGTATATTCGTTCTCATTCTCCCTCGATTAGTAACGGTAATATAAGTTGAAAAGAATGTTTTTTTTAGATCCTTGTAGTTCTACCATATAACATCAAAAGAAAAAAAAAGAACCGAGAGAACATGGTAATGCAAAGTAGAATATGGGAAAATTATTGATAGGTTATTTGATTTAACATGATTAGAACAGAAAAGATACTGCTAATGGTCGATTGACATATTGTTGATTTTAATAATCTGTTTTGATAGGTTTCTGATGCGTGCCTATATTTGATAAAAAAAAAATGACGTGCATAATAAATATAAAAGAAAAGAAACGACATATTTGCATTTAATCATCTTATTCGAACTAGAAAATGATTATGAATTATGTATAGTACTATGCTTGGTTACTTTTCTTTGTAATAACTAACGAATGTTTAATATAATATTAAAATTCCTCGTAAAAAAACATGACATGAAAAGTTTATGTTTATTTCTTTTTTAATGCGGTATTTGTAGCCATGGTTTAGCCTTAAGAATATGTTCAATTGAAAATGTATCTGAATTGATATTCATTGAGTTAATACTAGGTGACGGTGATCGACTTCGTTGATATCTTATACCTCGTTCCGGTAATCGTCGGTGGGAGTAAATTAAATTAACTTCTTTTTCTTCTTCTTCTTCCTTCCCCTCCTCTCGGTCTTCATTTGATTCATCAATTTCTTCTTGCGGTTCTTCACTATTAATTGAGATAAATCGAAGCATGGCTAATGTTTCGTTAGGCATATCAATAAATTCTTTCCTACGCAAGAGTTCATAACGAAATCTACTAATTCGTCGTAAATACCATTCGTGAGAGTTTCGCTTTCGAATTGTATGTGTAATTTGTAAGATAGTAAGAATAATAACAATCATTAATAGTTGTAATAATAATAAAATATGATCTCCTTTACTTCCTTGTTTAATCGGATGACGTTCATGATCTTCATCAGGTCCCATTTTTGTACAATAATGTATAATTTGTTGTTTTTGTGAAGAATTTTGATGTTGACTTGGTAGAAGTACAAGACAAAAAGTAAAATGATCTGTAATTGTACCAGAAATTTCTTTTTCATAATAACCTAAAAATGGTCCAATATTAATTTTATAATTTTCTGACGGTAATTTTGAAATATGAAGATAAGCATTATAAAGAACTTGTCTTTGTTGAAAAAGCATAGTATGCGTAATATCAAATTTAATTAATATTGTTTTATGATCAATAATATCATAGGAAAAGAAATAATAATTCAATGTTGTTAAATCTTCTTCAATTTGAAATTGTTTCGAATTATTTGTTCCATTTTGTTGAAAAGTATCTATGCTTACAATTGTTTGACTAATTATAATCAAAAAATAACAACTTGTTATAAACAACATATTTTTACTAATATCTGACATATACTTCGCTGTTTTTTTTATCAACAAAAGAAATACTCGGTGTATGTATATACCTTATCATAATAAGTCACTGTCCTCTGACAAAAAACTGCGTTTTTGATTATGTACATGTGATATATATATTACATATACTTCTTCTGTATATATACTAATCGTATCTTTATATTGATATAAATTTTATTTATTTTAAACTTGAAATCATGTTTTATAGATTTGTTATAATAAAATATACAACTGAATGTAAATATAAGAATTCATTTTCTTGATTTGATATACATATACATGCTTTCAATCAATATAAAACAAAATTGCATTGACAAACGTCAGAACAATGAAGCACAATAAGTGCAAGAGCGCGCGCGCGCGCGACTCTACTCTCTTTCTTACGTCTTTCTCGATTGACTACAATGATTGCGCGTTGTTCGTGTTTGTTTTTAGGCCGAAACGAGACACTAATAGAAGAAGAATCGAAGAAAAAAAAAATCTCAATTTTTGGTCTCTACGTTTTAATATACCTAGAATTGTAGCTATTTGCGCTGCTTTCTGTTTCTTTTCTTTCCATCATTTACAACAATGACAGTCACAACATCGTTTTTATTTCTTATTTTAACAACAATAAGCTATTAATCGAGTAGTACATATATATATATACATAAAAAAAACCCATTATATATATATATAAATGCTTTGTCCAAAGTGTGGTAAAACGTTATTGGCGCGCGAAGGCATTCTTCAAGCTGGTCGTAAGTATCATCGACATTGTTGGACTTGTGGTGAGTTAATAAAATATAATGACTACTATAAATAATAGAGTTTTTTTTATATTTCTTTTGTTCTCGTTAGCACAATGCTCAAATCCATTAACTTTGTGGGTTCGTCAACCACTCATACCCGATGAATATCTTTGTAATATTTGTCACATTAAAAAGAATGGATTGAGAGAAGGTATGATTTTTGTTAATTGGAAAAAACAAACAGATTCAAATATATCATTAAATAAACAGTAAAGTTTTTATTGAATTTATTACAAAGAAAAATAACAAACCTGTTTACATATATTTAGATCAGCAACATTAAGCGATGATATTTTACTCATTTAAAAGAAATAATTGTAACTAATAAATGATCTGATGATATGGAAAAATGAGTATATGATTGAAATATTTTTAATTAATCAAACAGTATCTACTTTTGGTAGAATATAAATCAATTGAAATGATATTTTACAGAATATGTTTATTGTCAAAAGTTTCTATATCTGAAATAAATCAATCAAGAAAATGACTTATGTCTGTGTATGTGAGTTGTTTACTAGTTGTGAAACAAATGTTGAATTATATGAAATACGGAAGTGTAAAAAACTTTTCTTTTCTCTTTCGTTACAATATATTTCCTAAGGAAGTACATGGCTCAACTTATAATTATTATCAGTCTACAGGTTTCTTTGATATTTGAAGTACTTGTTAAGAAATATTATTTAATATGTATTACATCAAAATAAAATATTTTTTGTACGTGTTGTTTTGTTCTCGTTTTTATATTAAGCAAAGAATTATGTCGAAAAAGAAAATAATTTGAATGTGTTGTTGACTACGATGAATTGCATTTTTTTTCAATTCTCAAAACAATTTAAAATATTCGTCTTACACAGTTGCTATGTAGTTGTGCATTATAATACATTAAACAATAGTCGTGTAAAAAACTCTCTCATTACAATATTCAGAAGCAGCTATGACCCACAATATTTCGTAGTCTAAAGACTTTTCTACAATCTTCTATCGAAAGATGAAGCTAATGGGTCCCGCGAGTCCTATCACTGGAGGCCCTTTCTTTAAATAAATATATCATTGATGACGATTATATAAGTGTGCATGATTGATGTATTACTTAGTAGTAAGGCCATCAGTATATGCGACGATTGTATTTATATATATGTATTGTCATTTGACAGATATATCGATTATTATTTACATGTCTATCTTACATAAAATAATATGTATGATTCACCTTAAGATTGATTGCAAATAACATTGAAACGTATGAGATAATAATCATATACTATCGACATTCAAGATAAAAAATTTGATCGAATTAAATAAAATAGTTTGAAATTGGCATTAACATTAACAAATGTTCAGATTTTTATTACAATAGAAACATGAAATTATTCAAGAGAAAAAGTCAAATGTCTTATCATTACTAATCTATTTGTCATATGAAAAATAGTTAAGTTGTATTTAAATCGTGATAATTCTAGTACGTATAATCTTATAGAACCTATATGAGGTAATAAGCTGATGATTAGTGACATCTAACTGAACTGTAGATTACCATTGCTGGAAATAACTGAATATGACTCATTGAATGCATCAATCAGAAAACTTTTTGTAATAACATTATTGTGTTAGTTATATTATGATGAACCAAGTATATCGTTTTCGTCCGTTAATTTCATTTCTATATCGTACACCGATTCGTTCGTTTCATCTATCTTCGACACGATCTATTGAATGGTCTGATATTGATGAATACACTAATAAAGTGAATACATCCGTTTATTTAACAACTGAAGTTTATGAAAAAGATGGTAATATAAAAAATATTTCTTATTATTAATCGAATATAATTTCCTGTTTGAAATAGATGAATGGATTCAATATGAATCTCGTCGAAATGAACGATTACGTAAACGACGTGAAGAATTTCTTCTTGGACCACCAAAACGTAAATCTGTAGCAGCATCAAATGATGATTCTAAACCTTGTCCATCATCGGCAAATTTTACTAAAAAGGAAGTTGATGTAAAATATGATCCAAATGATGATCGACCTATACAAATGAATGATCCATATTTACCATCGCCACATAAATGTATATTTTGTGAGCATAATTTAAAAATTGATTTTCGTAATACAAAATTATTAAGTCAATTTATATCTCCTCAAACTGGTTTTATTTTTAATCAACGTACAACTGGTTTATGTTATTTTAAACAAGTTGAACTTGAAAAAGCTATACTTAAAGCTCGACGTTTTCATTTAATGCCATATAAATGGAAAGAAACTGTTTATTTAGATGATCCACGTTTATTTAATCCCTATGATAATACAATGAAAAAAGTTGTTAGTACAGAAAAAGAAAAATATGGACATTAAAAACATCCAGTTTTTGTTCTAGAAAAATAAATCATTTGTTTGTTTTCACTTTTTTTCAGATTAACAGATAAAAAAACAAACATGGAAGAATCAAATAAGCAGAATAATTCTTCATCACCACCAAAAAAAGATGGTTTATTTTGGAGTAAAATTATTGCAACACAATATCTTATTCGTCATCCATTTTGGAAAAGTTTTTCCTTACCTATTATTATCGGACAAATATCAGCAGCAAATTCACAAGTCGAGTAAGAAAATCATTTCTCATTTAATTTATTCTATTCATTATTTTGTAGTTATACTGGATCAAATTATGTTACCATTGTATATATTCTTATCATATTCCATTTTCTAAGTGGTATCGTTGTTAGCGATCGAAAATTTCGTCATGCATTAGGATTTATACCTCATATTATTGCACTTGGTTGTACATCATATTTATTGTATACAAATATACTTCAAGAATTAACTCCTTGGTTAAAAGTAAATCAAAAATATTTTTAGAAAATAATCTATTTTTTGGATTTTGTAAGATTCGTATTATTATACATTCACTTGGTACAATGTCAGCATTTTGTTTTATTGCGAGTTTACATACATTAAGCATTCCATTTCGAACTATTTTACGTCGTTTATCAACTTATTTAAATGTTTTCTATTTCATTCTCAATGCTTATGTACTTTGGTGGTCAAATGATGAAACAAAATTATTTAATAATTTCATTTGGACATTCTTTATACGAATACATGCTATTATTTTTTTTCTTGTCTCAGGTGGCTTTTGTTTAGATATATTTATCATTCCATCATGTCAATTTGCACTTTATTTAATCTGTATAAATATCTTATTAGATTCGTGTATACTTTATAATGTCGTACAATCAAGTGTAAATTTTTGGTTATTAATTGATTATATAGTTGATGATATTGGTATACTTTGTGGATATTTTTATTTATATCAATTTAATTTACATCAAAAGATTAAATTGAAAAAAAAAGACTAAAATTAGAATGATTCCTTTTTTTCTTTTTTCTTTTTTTTTCTAGTCAAACGAAGAATTGAGATCTATTATTTTTAGATTATTTTGAAAAAAACGAAAATCAAATATGGGAAAAGATGGTGGTTTTTTGACGCCAAAAGCAATTGGTAATAGAATTAAAGCCAAAGGTCTACAAAAATTACGATGGTATTGTCAATCTTGTGAGAAACAATGTCGTGATGAGGTAATTTATTTGAACAAAAAATAAATGATATATTTTTTTCTTCTTTTTTTTAAGAATGGATTCAAATGTCATATACAAAGTGAATCCCATCAACGGCAATTATTATTAGTGGGTGAAAATGCAGGCAAATATGTTTCTAATTATTCACAGTAAATAAATAATTGTTATCTTATTAAATAATAAAATTCTTTTTTGTTTTTAAGTGAATTTCATAGCGGCTTTTTCAGTACATTACGTCGTTCATTTGGCACAAAACGTGTTTTAGCTAATACAGTTTATTGTGAATATATTAAAGATCGGGAACATGTTCATATGAATGCTACTCGATGGGTTGCTTTAGCAGGTTATGTTCGTTGGCTTGGAAGCCAAGGTAAAAAGACGATAGATAAATGTATTCTTAATTAAAATAAACAAATTAAATATTTGTAGGACTTTGTGAAATTGAAGAAACTGAACGAGGATGGTATGTAACATTAATTGATAAAGATGCTGATTCAGTACGACGTGAAATGGATGCTGAAAAAAAAGAAAAAATGAATTTAAGTGATGAACAACGACGACAACAATTAATAGCTGAACAAGTGAGTTTATAAAGAAAAACAATTCTCTTTTGAAATATTCTATCTATTTAGATTAGAAGGGATCAAGAAAGAGGTATTCAACATGCTGAACCAGTATATACTGAATTTGTTCGCAATGATGAAGAAGAAAAAGGTATTTATTTGATGAGTATATTATATTAAAATATTATTAATTCTTTTTTTGTTTAGTACAAGTTACATTTAATAAAGTTGTTGTTGAAGAAAAGAAAAAAATTCTACCGTAGGATTTTACATTTTTATTTATAGCATTTAAAATTTTTCTGGTTTATTTTAGACCATCCATTCTAGTTACAAGTAGTAAAAAACGAACTGATACAACGGATGAAACTCCAGAAGAAGTTGTTGTTAAAAAGAAGTCGAGATTTGAACCTATTGAAGAAACTGTTACAACAACAACAACAACAACTACTTCTGTTTTTAAAAAACCATTCCCACCAGCTGCATTAAAACCAAAAAAATCAGCACTTGAAGAATTACGAGAAGTAAAAATTTTAATGAATTTAATTTTTCTATATCAAAAAAAATTATTTTAGGCACAAGAAAAAATGAAAGAACAAAAAAATCGTAAAGATTATTGGTTACATGAAGTAATTCTTATTTTTATTTATTAAGTTTCGAATTTTCTTATGCTTTCATTTTAGGACATCATAGTCAAAATAATAACTTCAAAACTTGGTGAAAAATGTTATAAAAAGAAAGGTGTTATTACTAAAGTTGAAAATCGTTATCAAGCTGTTGTTAAAATGCTTGATACAAATGATAAAATACGTGTTGATCAAGCACATGTAGAAACTGTTATTCCCGCTATTGGTAAATTTGAAAAAATCTTTCAAAAACTATATCTATTTTCTTTTTTTTGTAGGAAAGAATGTCTTGATTGTAAATGGCGCATATCGTGGCGAAGAAGCAACATTAGAAGATATACATCAAGATACATTTTCTGTGGATGTGACTATACTAACGGGTTCAATGGTTGGTACTCGATTCAATAATATTGCATATGAAGATGTTTCAAAATTGGCCGATTAATATCTTTGAGTTTTATTTTTTGTGGATGTATCTGTATATAAAGTTTTGAAGATTAACAAAAATAAACACTCATATTCATGTCATTTGTGTATTACTTTAAGAAAAGGCAATATTTAATAGGAAGATCTAGTTTTTTTTATTTTATCAAAAGCTCGATTATTTCATTTATGTCTAGAAGACGAATGTTTATTATTGAATATCAGTGGAACTTTCATTTGGTGTACTGATTCTTTTAGTAAATTCTTTAACATCGATTAAGTCACGATTGATAAATGGTCTTGACATTCTTCGATCATAAATGGTTGATGTTAAATCATTTGCAGCTAATACTTGTTCTTCCGTAGGTGTAGGTATAGTTAAATGAAGACTTGGTATCGATGCCAAAGAACGATGTAAAACTATTTGATTTAAACCAACTTGAAGTGCATTTGCTGAATTTATTGGAATATTATCAGTATTATTATCATTACGTACATCTGTTTTATGACCAAATATAGTCTTATATGGTCGACTACGAATTACAAGTTGACCAATACGATTTAGAAGACTTTTCTTTCTAACTGTTTGTACTGCATATATAGTGAACATCATAATCAGAATAATAATACTTTGTGAAATAATAAAATATACACTAGGTCCTACAGATTGATTTGTGTCAGTTTGACTGTTATCTGTTGATGATGTATCATTATATGAATAATCAATCGTACGACAAAAAATGATTTCTTTAAGAACCGTTGATGATGTTAGATTTAATAATAAATATAAACAAATATTATGTGGTAATGATATAGTCGTTGAATAATTAATAATAAATGATGATCCATTAATACATATATTAGTTAGAGATGCTAGTAATTGATTATGTACTACATCTGTAATAAATACAGTTTTATTAAAAATAGAATTATTTGAAATTGTATAAGGAATTGTAAATATTATTTGAATTATATTCAATATTGTTGAATTTGAAGTATTTTCTACTGTATTTAATTGCCAAGATGATGTAAAACCAAATGTATTAGTATCACTTGCTCGTGTATCAATATTAATTGATTGTAATGAACAGATATTCGATGAAACAGATTGATTAGTAGGATCTGCTGATTGCAATAATCTATTTTGTTGATAATCATAAAACTCATTACTCGTCGTCGTCGTAGGTAAAGACGAACTAAGCTTGATTAGAATAGAATATATAAAAATCCAAATGTACCACATTCAAATTTGCACAATGGCACATATAAAGTTTAGTTTTTTTTAGTTGTGTATTATGTACATTCATCTGCACACCTTTTTTACAGACTTTCTTCTATCTTAATTATATTTTTTTGTTGCTTTCTGATGTCTTTTTTGACATTTGTTATAATGTTTCTTTCCTATTCAACATAGTACATGATTTAAGACATAAACTAAATTGTAAAGAGAATGTTTTTAGTTGATCATTAATCAATGACATATTTCGTTTTTTTCTTCTCCCTTAGAAATCTCTTGAAGAATTAAGTATATTAATAAATTTTGTTTTCCTTAAAAATCACGCCACATGATCTAGGAAATTTGTCAATCTATGCTGTGATATGATAATCGAAGCATCAGCTGCATGACAATGAAAAGAGAAAAAAGAAAATTTCTATTAGTTCTGTTACTAGCAAGAATAAAAAACAAAATTATTCTCACATTAGTTCTTTATGTGCCGATGCATCATTTATAAATCGTACAACAAGTTCTGTTTTTCTTCTATTTGATAATATAAAAAACCTCAGTTCTCATATTTCTTTCAAAAAAAAATGATTTCGTTAACAATTTGGTTTTGTTTATGGTTGAATTTTTTTGTTCTTGCTCCTCCATCGTTCGATATTAATCAAAATCGCTCTACACACAATAAAATTTCTCTAACATCAAATATTAACTCAACAATGTTTATAAAACGACGGAGAATGAATATAACTCATCAATTTGATATAAATTTATATCGAAGTACATGGAAATTTATTGATAAACATACTATTCGAGTTCGTTTTCATCTCCATGAATCATTACTATCGTCGACTACATCAACACGTTTTATTGTTCGTCATACAAATACTGATCATATTGAAACATTTGATAAACCACATGAAATAATTAATTCAACATTATCACTCTATTTACATAATATTAAACATGGTCGACATACAGTATGTTTATTAATTTATACATCAAAATTAATGAAAAATCCTAAACATATATTTTGTCAAGATATTATTTTTAATTTTCATAAATATGGTCATCATGATATTGATTCAGATGATCATGGAAATACATTTGTTTTTCTTCTTACACAATATGCGATTGTATGTGGAATATTATGTATTTTACAATTAGTACACACGATTCGTAAACGTCGATTTATGAAAACTGTTTATCATAAAGCAAATACTTTACGAAATCTTATGACAGAATATCATCATCGTTTACAAGAAACCAAACCAACAACAGAGACTACTACTAATACTAATGAAGCACATGCGTTAGATTCTCTTATTTATAATTTAAATCGAAATGCTCTACGTGATTTTGATCAAGCATGTATGCAAAAACAAAATGAAGATGAACATTATGATAATTTAATAAGTTATCCATCGTCATCTGATCATCAAAGATCAGGATCTGAAAAATATTCTAAACCATCATCAAATGTACAGTATCGATCAGTACCAACGATAAATGATCATGTTGATTTTAATGAAAGTGATTGTGATGATAAATCAGCTAGTTTCAAATCAGTATCACATATTCTCGAAGCAAATAAACCATGGATGACAAAATTATCTGATAATAATACGGTTGAACATTCTATATTATCATCAGTACCTTTACAAATAAATGGTTGTGAATTAATTCTTTGATCTATTATTAACAGATGACAGCACAATATGGATATAAGTTTTTTTTTTATTAACCAATCAAATAAAGACTTATTTTTAATGCTTTGCCTCTTATTTCTATTTGCTATCAGTAGAAAAACACAAACAGCAATAGTTTTTTTTTACTTCTGAAATTAAGTCCATTTTTACATCTTTCATATTTTGTTTTTATTGATTTGATTAACATCGGAAATGAATCAATTAAAGATAGCTATTTGATATTTATTCATGATTGTAATTCAACAGAAGATTTACGTGAAAATAATAAAAGTGCATTAGTTAATAATATAATATTTATTCCATGAGAACATAGAGTATTTCTATTCAAAAAGCTAATCGACAATTTATTTATGTACTTGTATGTTTAATATTTATAAAATTACTTTTAATAATTGATTATATATAGGATGATGATGAGAATTATTTTTTAGATTAATATTATAAATCATTAACATATTCGAATCATCATGACGAAAATGCAAAAAAAAGTATGTATAAATTTTATACTTGAAAATATTTATCATTACTTAATTTTAGTACAAAAAAGGTGCGTCCGTTAATTATACCAGTCGTAATCAAGCTTTACGAAAATTACAATTAACATTAGCTGATTTTCGGTATGAAAAAAAGAATTTAATTCAAATTATAATATGAGTATTTTTGTATTTAGACGATTATGTATTCTTAAAGGCATCTATCCAGTCGAACCAAAAAATCGACGTAAAGCAAATCGTGGTCGTTTAGCAAATAAAACATATTATTTAGCAAAAGATATACGTTTTTTAACACATGAACCGATCATTGATAAATTTCGTCATTTAAAAGTAAACAAACAAATATTTATCTATTATAATAAATAATCTTATTTTTCTAGTCATATCTTCGACGAGTAACAAAAGCAAAAGCACGTAATGAAAAATCTAGAGAAGAAACATTACGTAATAATCGTCCATTCTATAAACTTGATCATGTTGTTCGAGAACGGTATAAAATTCTATTTCCTCTTATAAATCTTATTTTATTTATTTATTTCTCTTAGATATCCATCATTTGCTGATGCTCTTAGAGATTTAGATGATTGTTTAACACTTATATTTCTCTTTGCTAATTTTCCATTATTGAAAAAACTTTATGAACCACGTCTTCGTTTGTGTCGTCGTTTATCTGTTGAATTTCTTCATTATGTTATTGCAAGTGGATCAATAAAAAAATGTTTTATATCTGTTAAAGGTTATTATATTCAAGTTGAAATTCGTGGTGAAATAATAACATGGATTGTTCCACATAAACTTGGACATAAAGTAAACTAAATATATAGTTTTTTCTTCTTCTTCTATAGATTAATTTTTATTATAGAATCCAGCTGATGTTGATTTTAAGATAATGGCGACATTTTTGGAATTTTATACAACTCTTCTTGGTTTTGTTAATTTTAAATTATATTCTGATCTTGGTTTAATCTATCCACCTAAAGTAGGAATAAATCGATTTTTCTGTAATCTTAGAAATATATATATCTTATATATGTTTTTTAGCTTACGTTTTCAGCTACAACATCATTATCAACACTTTGTTCTGAAGATGAATTTTCCGATGAGGTAGATTTTTTCAATAAAAAAATAATTATTATTGTTGTTTATTATAGTTTCTTGCTTCACTTGGTTTACCAATCATGAAAAAAGCAGATGCAAATCCAGTTGATCAAGTTGAAGTTGATCAAGAAGCTGCTCAACTTGTTTGTTAAAATCTATTATTTTGAAAAAGCAAAAATTCGTTTTTGTTGTATTTATAGTTGGGTAATACAGAAGGTGATGAAGAAAATCGTCGAAAAGAAGAAGAAACAAAAACTATACAAAAACTATTTTCTAAATGCAAATTTTTTATTAGCCGAGAAATTCCACGAGAAATGTTTGCATTTGTAATTCGGTAATTTAGTCTTGTTTTTTTATCTGATCTAAACAATAATTCTATTTTCTTTTCTTATTAGTGCATGTGGTGGAAATGTTTCATGGGATAAAACAATGTGTCCTGGTGCAACTTATGATGTAAATGATGAAAGTATTACTCATCAACTTGTTGATAGACCTAAATTGAATGATATGATTGTGAATCGGTATGTTGATAAATAATATAAAAAAAGCAAAAGAACTTTTTTTAATTATTAAATAGCGCTTATATTCAACCACAATGGGTATTTGATTCTATTAATGCACGAAAATTACTACCAGTTGATAGTTATCTTCCAGGTAGTGTATTACCACCACATCTTTCTCCATTTGTTGAAGAAAAAGAAGGTGATTATGTTCCACCAGAAAGATTTGGTCAACGTCAACCAGACCATGATGTTGAAGAAGAAATTACAAAACAAGTTCCTTCTATCAATCTTGTTGAAAACAATGCTTATTTAAATGGTAATCTCAAACGAAAACGTAAAGATGAAGAAGAAACACCAGTACCAGCAAAACCAACTACAAAAGAACAACGAGTAAGTGAATGATGAACGAAATTTCTGTATATGATTATTTTCTGTTTTATAGAAACAAGCAATGCGTGTTGAATCCGGTCAAGTACAAAATATTAATGTACCAAATATTGTTAAACGTAAAGCTGATGAAGAAAAACGTTTACTTGAAATGACAATACCAAAGAAACAAAAACGTTTGTATGATAAGATCAAATTTTCACAAAAGAAGAAACGACAAGAGGTGGAAAAATTAACACGTAAACGCGCTAATCATGAAAACCGTGCAAAACAAGATACAACAATTGATAAAAAAAAATAACTAAAATTGTCATGAATTCATCAATACATTTTGCTGTTTTTTTTTATACCATTGTTATTTGTTTTGTGGTAAAAGGTACAATAAAAATAAAGATAAAAGAAATTATTCATGAGCTATTTTGTCGAAAAGATCCATTAGAAAAATCAAATCTTTTACACGGATCCAATTCAATATCAGGTGTATTCATAATGGAACTAAGTTCTTCACTATCCTTAAATAAAAAAATATATAATAATTGATTCAAGTTAATTATGTCATCTCACTTCTTGTGAATCAATAGGTTCGATTTCTAATCCCTCATTCAGAATTAAACCTGTTGGCTATATAATAACAATAAAATAAAATGAATGATACTTTATTCTGTTGTATTCATACCTGAGGGTGAATGATGCTATTAAAATACTCTTGTACCAACGCTATAATTCAAAAATAATATTATAAAAATTTAAAAAATTGTAACAAATGAAACTAACATTCTGCGACTGTTGTTGGATCTGCATAATATATCCAAAGTTCGGTATCATTTAACGCTATTGGACTTGGATTATAATCTTTGGATTGTATATGTCGTAGTCGAATAAAAACTCGTTTTCTATCAAACTGTACTACATTTGGTACTGTAAATTGAAGTAGATTCTATGAATAGAAATAGAATACAAATAGTGTCTACAATTATAATATAAAAAAAAACTTACAGGACAATTATTTACATAGGAAGCATTTACACAAATATGTGGTTTATTAAATAGTTGTTCATTCAATGTAGTTGATGGATCTTGAAAAACTAATTGGAATTGAAATGGACATACGGTATATTCTGATTTTGATTTTGAATAATCATAGTCACAATAAACATATGCGGAATCATTTGCTCGTATTTCTGTTGTAGGCTGAGGTATTTTACGAATTTGTAATGGTTCAAATATTTTATTATTTCGTAAAGGTGGAGATAATGTTTCTGTTAATAAAACGTCATGGTTATCATAACCAGCAACATATACTCGAACATGAGCTTGACTAAAAGTTCCATTTTCATTTTCATCAAAGAAAATAAGTTGTTTAACACATCGTTCTTCTATTAATAGAGTAGAAGAAAACAAAATACATTAAAGAACAAATAACTTTTCTATATTATACTATGAATTTTGAGACGTTTAGTAATTGTAGCATCACTTGTTGTTAAATTATTATTAACATCGTCTAATTCATTGAATGGTAAGTATCGTAAAATATTTCCGTCTCTTCTACGTTCTTTCATAAGATCTGGATAATCTGTTATTTTTGTTACTACAACAGCTAATGCAGCATTATCTCTATAATCACTATTCATTTTATGAAAGATAGATAATTAATTGAATGATCCTGCTTTACAAAGCTTACGAATTTGGAAATTCATCTGCAAACTTTTGAGATTGAAAACAAGATCTTACACAATTCGGATTATTCGGTGAAAGCATTTGAGGACTAAAAAATTAAAGTAAAATATTTTATTACAAATTGAAATTTAAAATTACGTGAATTTTAATTCTGGACCAAACACATCTGCAACTATAATACCGGAATCATGATTTAAATTGTGTGATTTCTCTCTTTGAGAGTGATTTGATCCTTGCGATTTAAACTATATAAATCGATAGAAGAAAAATAATCAAACATAATTTCATTCAATTATTTACTTTACATATCCATCGAATCGTGTGATAATCCATTCGTGCTGGAATTGTATTAGTTATTAGACAAAGAACAATTTTATACGATTGTAAATTAATAGTATTTTCAAGACATAACTATATTTATAGATAAAAATATATGAATAAAGATACGATTAATGAATCAATTGTTACTGTCATTTCACATGGAAATGTACCATCACGATTTTCTGCATCATATCTAGATATTTTCAATAGATTTATTCGAATATATATATATATATTCTATACCTGAAACGAGTTAAAGTATTTCTAGATGTCCATGGATTTGAAATAAATTTAGGTAAATTCTAAACAACAAAAGGATAATTTATAAGTGGAAATATAGAAAAAGATGCAACATACAATTGGATAACCATTATTACATGGATATGAGATTGATTGTCCATTGATTTTACAACATAAGTTAAGATAAACTTTATGAAAATCTAAATTTTAACTACTTAAAAAAAAGATAATACTCAAAATTTGAAATGAAATTACCCTGAATTTCTTCATCAGAATCAATACTTTTATCAATAGCTTGATAATATCTTTTCAAATCATTGATATCAAAATCTCGTAAACGTTTAAGAACGAGATTCAATGAAATATCATAATGTCCAATACCTAATGTATTACTTTCTAAACGTGTACCATGTGTTCGAAGAATATACGGATGAGGATGAGAAGTATCATTATGTTTATAAGATGCCTCAAATTCTAAATGCCAATGATTATCAACCTATATAATCACTAGAATATTTCTATACAGTAGATTAGTATATTTTACTCACCTGAATCAGAAATCTATTTGTATTTCCAGATACAAATTGATATGTAGCAGTTGGAGTACAATCAATAGATTGAGATGATGATGATGAATCTTGAACAAAACTGTTTATTAAAATTTGTAGTTAAGTAAGACAAAATATACAATACTAACCGTAGTTCTAAGTTAGAAAAAGTATTTAATATTTGTTCCATTAAACTAAGGCTTGTGAAAGACTAAAATGCTTATATTTTCGATATATAACATAACATCTAAACAAAATATTTTTTGTTGCTATTCTTTTTTCCTGTGCTTCCTATTTTCATGACAAATAATATTACGACACGAATGTATTTTATCCTCTCGCCGCATTTACATGTTTTTTTCTTTTATAAGTCATTAGAAAAATAAAAGAAGAACGGATGAAAAAATAAGGGTTTTGAGGTAGACAGTAAAGAAATCAGGTGTGATTTACTCGATTTATAACTTTTTTTTTCATTTTTCAAAATAAATATTTTCGATGGTTGTAAAACCATATTTAATTGAGTTTTCTCTTCATGTCTAAGCTTGTCTTTGCTATTATCGTCGGCAATAATACATAAAATAGAATACAATTGTTTTTAAATTTAATAAGATTTTCGTTTATTGTGTTTTATATATTCATTTTTTTGATCTACCAATAACCTCTTCCATCATCAGTACTTCCGTTAGTTTCTCTAGTATTACTAGATGACATATTCGACGATGAATCATACTTTGAATAATGAAAAAAAACACAGTATTTTACGGATAAATAATATATTCTTACTGTACTGTTCGTCGCTAACATCATTTCATATACTTCTAATCAAATATTATATTGAGATATGTTGAAATTAATTATATAAAATACTTACTTTGATCAACAGTCGAGGAATCAAATGTATCAGTATTACAACGGTAACCTGTTCTATTATCTTCAGTATCCATGAATTAATAAATGTATTATATTATAATAAAATATCTGTATTAGCTTTTAATGTCGATATTGAGCTTTAACTCTTGAAATATTTTCAGTTTTTACTTGCGTATATATATACCTAATTTACTAAGCATTCACACTAAAGCTTTTGTATCTACAGACGTCTAAGCTCATAAAAGACCATATTTATTTTCGATGACTCACACAAGTTAACTATATCTGCGCCACGTCAACGATTATTTGATAATATGATATATATTGGAATATTTTATTTAACAATTTAACTCCAATATCACACAATACTGTGACTCATAGTAATGTTATTTAATAGTTGATATCAGAAAAAGTACAACTAAAGAAGGGTGTGGTGTGGGTGTGAGTGTCATTCTTCTTTTTTTATTATATGATCTGGAGTAGAGAATATCAATTCATTGATTATTTTTATTTGAAAAAAACTTTGAGATATTTCAACCTCATCTTCACTTCATTACCAATATAAATAATAAATGAATAACTATAGAGAGATGTTTATTTAGAATTAATCTTTTCTTTTCTTTAATATTTTTCAATGCTAAACAAAAGAAAAAAGCAGAATAGTTCTACATATTATGTTAATATTAGATATGTAATTAATCCAAAATATTCACGATGTGGGGTGGGTGTTGGTGGGTGTGGGTGTGGGTGTGAGCAGATGTGAGTATGGATGTAGATGTGGGTGGGTGTAGATGAGGATGTGGGTGAGGATGTGAGTGTGGATAAGAATGTGGGTGTGAGTGTGGGTGTGGGTGAGT